GCAGGGACAGGAGGAGACTCAGTGGTCAGGGTGTACAGGCTCGACCCCGGCCGACGCGTAAACGTGGCCAGGTGCCGGCCTGTACGAGCGTACGAGCAGTGGGTCACCCGCTGACTCGTAGGAGTAAACTTGTGAACCCCCGCATCATGTAGGTCAGCACCACTCACCAAGTTCGTAGAGAATGAGGGGAGGTAAAGACCTGAGAAGGTGCCAGAGGGGGCTGCCGGACACGGGAGGACAGTGGAGAAGTGAGAAAGGACAGGACCCCAGAGGGGTCTGCGAGGGAGACTGCAACAGGCCGACCAAGCCGCGTGAGTGTGGTGCGGTCTCAACTATCAGCAGGAAGTAGCGCTTGTGACCCTGTCCACGGACGCGGGCCGGGCCCCACACGTCCATGTGAAGCGTCTGCAGCAGGGCCTCTGTCGGAGGAAACTAGGAGGAGTGAGGGGCAGCCCGCTGCCGCTCCTCGACACAGGGGACGCAGGTAGGGCCAGGCCTCGGAGGAAGGGGAGGGAGGGACCGGGGAAGACCAGAGACAAGGACACGGGAGGCCATGCCTAGGAGACAAAGCAGGGAGGGGTGACCAAGGCGGTGGTGCCACAGGAGAGTCTTATGAGACAGGAGGCGACACGAGCAGGGGGCAGACTCAAGACAAGTCCTAGATGCTGCAGCAAACACCTGACCCGACGCAGCTACCTTACCAGACGTAGAGACAGGAGGAGACGCAGTGGTCAGTGTGTACAGGCTCGACCCCGGCCGACGTGTAAACGTGGCCAAGTGTCGGCCCGTCCGAGCGTCCGTGCAGTGGGTCACCCGGTGGGTCGCATGATTGAACTGATGAACTCCCCATCCAGTAGGTCAGCACCACTCACCAAGTTCGTAGAGATCAAGGGGTGGTAGAGACCAGACAGGGTGCCAGAGGGAGCCGCCGGACACGGGAGGACTGTGGAGAAGTGAGTAAGGACAAGAACCCAGAGAGGTGTGCCTGAGAGACTGCAACTGGCCGACCAAGCGGCGTGACTGTGGTGCGATCTCGAAAGAAGGAGCGAGAAGCCCGTGAGTCAAGGGTGAAGGTGAGGGAGGCCGAAGTCGACGCGGTACGTGAGAGCGCAGACTCACCAGCACCTGAGGAAGCAGACGCATTGGCACCTAGAGCTGCAGCCTCGCTAGCACCTAGAGCAGCAGCCTCACCAGTACCTAGAGCAGCGATCTCAATGCTCGGGTCGAGCGGAAAGCACCGGTTATAGTCACCCTAATGACTAATAGTCACAGCATACATGGCAGCAAGAATAGCATCAAAGTCAAGGTGAAAGATAGCTACTCTCGCCCTAGACAGCTCACCCCAGCGGGGGATCTCAGTGGCCTCTGGGAGCTGGTGACGCCAAGCGTCCGTTAGGCGGCCAAAGCAGCGCTGGGTGGGGTGCGCACCCCCACACTGCTCACCCGCGCGGTTGCCGGTGCGTAGGACGTAGGTGCACGGACCAGTACCCCCACCCCGCTGACGTGCAGCGTACCACTCACTGAGCTGCTGAGGGGGGGGAATGTCACGAGTGCGCTGCTGCTGCTGGTGGTGCTGGCGCGGACCACCACCGGAGCCAAACCTCTGCGCAGCCCCACCCCGACCAGCTCCACCTCCTCCTCCACCGCCTCCTCCACCGCCGCCACCTCCGCCACCTCCGCTCCCACTGCCATCGCCGCCGCCGCCTCCGCCTCCACTGCCGCCACCGACACCTCCACCCCCGCCACCACTCCCACCGCCACCCCCACTCCCTCCGCCGCCTCCACCGCCCCCGCTAGCCCCTCCAGCGCCCCTGCCCCCCTTGCCCTTGCCAGAGCGGCGTCCCCGCTAGGTGTAGACGCTGCACCGACCGACTCTAGCCCAACGAGGTCGGCCGCAGCAGCAGAGGCAACAGAGGGCAAAAGGGGGGAGGGGGAACACCCCTCAAAGATGGGGGTGCGAGGGTCACCACGGGAGGCTCCTACAGCGACTATGCTCTTCTGTGCTGCTAGGAGGGCCTTCTCAAGGAGGTCAACGGTGAGAGTGGTGGGGCAAACTGAGAGGAAGTGTTCCCGGACTACGCGAAGAGAATCAGGGAGCCGAGTGACTATGTAGTAGAGGGTGATGTACATGGGGGGGTGGTTCTTGGCGCAGAACTCAGTAGAAAGCGCAGCGCGGTAGCAAGTGTCACTAGTGCGGAGGTGCGTAATGAGGTCAACGACTGTGGGAAAGGCAGCAAGGTCAGGGAAGAGGTACGGTAGCATGAGGCGGCTCAGTGCAGCAGTGGCAGGGGAGGAGTAGCGTGCAACTACAGCGTCGTACAAGGTCTGAGCACTCTTGTACTGGCTAAAGTGCGCACGCTCAGAGATAGGCAGGTGGCGACGCACAGCAAGACGTGCAGCAACATCGCGCGTGGCCCACTGTGAGCGAATAGTGGCGTCAGCATCAGCAGCAGGAGCAGGAGAGGCACCAGAGGTGAGGTCAAAGAGGGAGAGACCGTCCGCCCTATCGCACTGTAAGAAAAGCTGCAGGTCATCTACCCAGACGTCAAAGTCAATGGCCCGACCCTCTGCGTCAAAAGCGAGGACACTAGGGGTAGCCGTGACAGCAGTAGACTAGTAGCGTGAACAGTGGGGTAAGGGCAGTGTAGTGGTAGAGGCGCTGCTCTTACCGGACAGGGCGGCTAGGGCGGCTCGGCGGCTCGGCGACTCGGCGGCTCGGGCGGCTCGGGCGGCTCGGCGGTAACTGCGGCTCGGCGACTCGGCGGCTCGCGCGGCACGGGCGGCTCGGCGGCAACTGCAGCTCGGAGTGCGGCACCCCGGGGGCTCGGGCGGCTTAGGTGGTGCGGCGGCTCGAGCGGCTCGGGTGGAGCTGGCGGCTTGAGGGTGACGGTGGGGCCGTGTGAAGGCGGGGCCGGGGCCGGGAAGGGTTGGCGACGAGGCCAGCAGCGGCTGGGCCGAGGCCGGGAAGGGCAGCGCCGGGGCTGAGAAGGGCGGCTCGGGGCCGTAGGGGTAGGCGACGGGGCCAGCAGAGGCTGGGCCGGGGCCGGGAAGGGCAGCGCCGGGGCCGAGAAAGGCGGCTCGGGGCCGCAGGGATAGGCGACGGGGCCAGAAGAGGCGGGGCCGGGTCGGGAAGGGCGGCGTCGGGGCCGGAAACGGGCGGCGCCGGGGCCGCGGATAGGCGACGGGGCCAGCAGAGGCTGGGCCGGGTCGGGAAGGGCGGCGTCGAGGCCGCGAAAGGGCGGCGCGGGGGGCCGCGGGGTAGGCGACAGGGCTACAGGGCGGCTGATCGGGGCCGGGAAGGGCGGTGCCGGGGCAGCAGGGGTAGGCGACGGGGCCAGCAGAGGCGGGGCCGGGTCAGTAAGGGCGGCGTCGGGGCCGCAGGAGTAGGCGACGGGGCCGCTAGGGCGGCGGATCAGGGCCGCGAGGGCGGTGCGATGCAGCCACTAGGGCGGCGCGACGGGATGGGGCCGCGAGTGCGACGCGACGGGGCCGCTAGCGCGACGCGACAGGGCCGCTAAGGCGGCACAACAGGGTCGAGAGAGGGGAGCGCGACTCGGGCAGGGGCTGAGCGCGCTCCGAGCAGGAAAAAATAATCGAATTGGTGGGCCCTGGGAACAGTTCCCACGAGGGAACCTGCTCGATACCATGAGAAAACTAGAACGAGGAATGAATGAGTAAGTGAAAGTTGGGTACAAATATAAACCCCTAGAAAGTTGTACCCCATATGTGCTACCCCACTATAGCCTACAATAGCTATGTCCCATAAATCTGACAAGCAAAGCCAGCATAAGCCGTCATACTCTCCCACGAGGATTCTGCCCAGGCAATTTGTAAACATATGGAGTCGCACGGTTAAGCTTTGCTACAAGAAGAAAATGTACCCTTTAGAAAACATGGTTAGCTAGTTCGCTTCGATTTCCATCCTGTAATCTTAATTATACATGTGTATTTGCATGTTGTAATCATCTCAAGCATTTTGCATTCACTCTGCTTTGAGGTCAAGGGCCCACCACTACCAATCAGTTGTGTGCAAACCTTCTCGAGGTGATCCTAGGGAGAATCAACTTTTGATCGCAGCAGCCTCTCCGCCAACCAACACTTGTGTCGAGGTAAAGCAAAAACACATCTGATACGTTTCTGTAGTTGTTTGTTTTAGGGCAATACTTCTTCAGCTTCGCAGGTAAACTTGGAGTAGTCGATGTTTCCTAGGGGCGCCCAACTGTTTTCAGGGCGGTGATGGGCGTAATCATGGTCAAATGTTATATCTGCTACAGTTTCTTTAGGCTCTAGTGGGGTAGGTTACTATGGGGTATAGTAAGTTTAGGGTTTCCTACTTGTACCCAACTCTTATCTAGTGCAATCACTCTTGTTCATTCTGACATGGTATTACGAGCCTAGGTTAGTCCTAAGGGCCCACCTTTCCGCTAGAAGCGCCCTCGAGCACCCTATCGCCTTAGCGCCCTCGTGCGCCTCTCTTTTAGTGCGCCCTCGCGCGCCTCTCTCCCTCTCGCTGCGCGTGCGCAGCTTGCTAGCCGCCCGCGCGCGGCCCGTTTTTTCTAGCGCACGCAGCCCGCTAGCCGCCCGCGCACGGCCTGAGTCACGCGCGCGTCGACCATTAGCCGCCCGCAGCGACCAACGCCGCGCACAAGCAGCCCGCTAGCCATCCGTCAACCGGCCTTGCTTGTCGTCCAGCGCGTTGCAGCCCCGCCCGTAGGCCGCCGCGTCGCTTTCATAGGCCGCCGCCCACGTGCGACTGCAGCCCACGCATCGCCGCGGCCCGTACGCAACAGCGGCCTACGCGCAGGCCCACCGTCGCGTCGCCGTGCCCGAACCGTGCCGCGCTGCCCTATCAGAGCCGCGCTGCCCTACTGCTACTGCTGTTCCTGTTGTTCTTACTGCTACTGCTGTTCCTGCTGTTTCTACTGCTACTACTACTGCTGACACTATGGCTACTCCCACAGTTCTCTCTTTCGATGCTAAGGGCCGTCCGCTCCAGTTTGATGCCTGGCACGACGACCTGCACCCGTTCCTACAGATCACCGCTAAGGACGATGTCTCGCTGTATGACCACGTGTCCGGAACCGCTCTAGCACCTCTTGACACTGCTGACAATACACCTCGCTCCCAGTGGCAGACTCGTGACGCCCACGCTCGCCTAGCCATTCACAGTCACCTGCCGTTAGATGAGTGCGCACACTTTGGCTAGTACAAGACTGCTAAGGCACTGTACGATGCAGTAGTCAAACGCTACTCCTCGCCTGCCTCCGCTACGATAGGCCGTCTCTCACTGCCCTATCTTTTCCCCGATCTCGCCGCCTTTCCCACAGTCGCTGACCTCATTACACACCTCCGCACTAGTGACACTCACTACCGAGCCGCCCTTCCTGCTAAGTTCCTCGCCACGAACCCCCCCCCCCCCCGATGAACCTCGTTCTCTACCACCTAGTCACCCGTCTCCCTGACTCTCTTCGCGTAGTCAGGGACCACTTTCTCGCCCTCTGCCCCACCGAACTCACCGTTGACCTGCTCAAGAAGCATTTGCTTGCAGCTGAGGCTACCATAGTTGCTGTAGGTGCCTCTCGTGGCGACCCCCGCACGCCCTTCTTCGACGGGTGTTCCCCTCCCCCCATTCTCCCCTCGGTCGCCTCTGCTGCCGCTATCGACTACCTTGGTGCTGAGGAAGTTGGGGCTGCGTCTGCTCCTAGTTGGAGGCGCAAGAGCAGCAAGGGCAAGGGGGGCAAGGGTGGTGGCGGTGCCAGTGGGGGAGGTGGAGGTGGAGGCGGTGGGGGCGGTGGGGGTGGTGGCGGTGGTGGGGGTGGTGGCGGGGCTGGGGGGGTGGGTGGTAGCGACGAGGGTGGTGGCGGCAATGGTAGTGGAGGAGGCCGGGGTGGAGGTGGTGGTGGTGGCGGCAGTGGCGTGGTGGCAGCGGCTTGGGTGGTGGTCGGGGTGGACCAGCGCAGCATAGAGGCTCGGGTGGTGTCCAGCGCCAACAGCAGCGTCTCGGAGAGAATCCGTCGCCCCAGCAGCTTCGTGAGTGGTACTCTTAGCATGGGGGGTCTGGGGGTGGAGGTACCTGCACGTATGTCATCCGCATAGGTGACCGCGCTGGTAAGATGTGTGGGAGGTTCCACACGCCGCAGCACTGCTTCTCCCGTCTCGACGACGCCTGGCGTGCACAGTTCCCTAAGGCCTCTGAGCTGCCCCGCTGGGCTGATCTGCTTAAAAAGGACATTGACGTCTTTGCACTAGACTTTGATGTTTTCCTTGGAGCCATGTATGTATTGACTATTAGTGCCACCCCTCACTCCTCTGAGTTTCCCCCCGACGGAGGCTCCTCTGCAGACCCTTCACATAGACGTATGGGGCCCAGCCCGTGTCCGTGGACAGGGCGGAGAGCACTACTTCCTGCTGGTAGTTGACGACTACACGCGTTACACCACGCACCAAGGGAGAGGTCCTTGCAGTCTTGATCCCGTGGATCCGCGCTACTCGTCTCCAGCTGGAGAGGCGCTTTCGCACGGACCTTCCCGTCATGCGACTACACTCTGACAGAGGTGGTGAGTTCTCCTCCGGCCTCTTGGAGGCCTTTGGTCAAGGGGAGGGCATTGAGCAGACGTTCACAGCTTCCGGCCTCTCCTCAGCAGAAGGGGGTTGCTGAGCGCCGCATTGGCTTGGTCATGGAGGTCGCTCGTAACCTGCGGCTGCCCCCCATTTTCTGTGGCCGTTTGCGGTCCGGTACGCCGCACATCAGCTCAACCTCTGGCCCCGTGTCTCCGTTCTAGAGGCCTCGCCGACACTGCGTTGGACGGGAGAGGTTGGCGATGCGTCTGTGTTTGGTGTCTAGGGATCTCGTGCCTTTGTCTGCGATACGTCCGCGGACAAGCTCTCTTTCCGCACCGTTCGTTGTGTCTTCCTGGGCTTTGTCCCTGACGCGCCTGGTTGGTAGTTTTACCACCCCACCTCGCGCCGTATCTTCCCTTCTCACGACGTCACGTTTGACGAGTTGGTCCCCTTTTACCGTGTCTTCCCCTACCGCACTGCCCCGCTCCCCCCTCCGCCGCTCTTCCTCACGCCAGGTGCTGCTTTGGTACACCCCCTGCCTCCCCAGGGTCCTGCTCCCTTTGGTGTCTCCCAGGTAGACACGGTCGAGCCTGTCGAGGTAGCTGTCGACTCTGGTCCTGCGCGAGGTACTCAGCGTGTTGAGCCTGAGCGTGCTCAGCGTGGTGGTGCTGGGTCTAGGGGTACTGAGACTGGGGGTGCTGAGCCCAGGGGTGCGGAGACTTGGGGTGCTGAGCCTGGGGGTGCGGAGACTGCGGGTGCTGAGCCTGGGGTAGCTGTGCCTGGGGGTGCTAAGCCTGGAGGTCCTAAGCCAGGGGGTGCTACACCTGGGGGCGCTCTCTCTTCCCAGCAGCTGCGTGAGTGGTACTCTCGGTACTGTTGCCGCCGCCGTGGTGCTGTGGGAGCTAGAGGTGCTGCTGGAGCTGGAGCTGAGGTCGCTGGGCCTACTGGAGCTGGTGTAGCTGCTGACACTGGGGTTGGTGCTGGAGGTGCTGGAGCCACTAGTCCTGGAGGTGCTTGTACTAGCGGTACTGGAGCTGCTGGGATTGGAGGTGCTAGTGAGCTGCTGGAGGTGCCTACTCGTACAAGGGCTGGTGGTGCTGCAGGGGCTGGAGCTGGAGGTGCTGACGCTCGTCCTCCTGCAAGTGCTGAAGCCGGCGATGCGGCTGGAGCTGGTGCTACTGGGGGTACTGGAGTCGGCACTACTGGCAAAGCTGGTGGTGCTGCAGGAGTTGGAGCTACTGCTGGGGGTTCTCGTGCTGCCTCTGCTGGTTCTGGGGCACTTCATGGCCGCCGTCGTACTTCGTTCCGCTCCTTCAGCAGGTTCTTGGTCAGGCCGCCTCCTCCTTGTCCTGCTCCCTCCTTAAAGTGTCCTCCGCCTGTCCAGTCGCAGTCACAGTTATAGCCTCCCCCGCCACTCCCTTGTCCTTCTCCCTACACTGGTCTGATAGGAGGTCTTACGGAGCGTCATGAGCCTGAGTCTCGTCCTCTGTTGCCTGAGTCTCGTTCTGCGTCACCTGTTTGTGCTGCTCGCACTGGTCATCGTGTCCCACGTCAGCGTCCTCCTGCTGTCCCAGGCACTCACCAGATGACGCTTCGTCCTTCCACTGCTCCACAGCGTGTCCCTCTACCTTCTCCTCCTGCATCCTCCCTTCCTGCCCTTGCTGACCCGGAGTCTGACTCTCTTCGTGCTGCTAGTCCTACTGGCACGCGTCTCTTGGCCACTGCTGTCACTGACCCTTCCTTTGAGTCAGTTGCTGCGTCTGCCTTAGTTGCTGAGCTTCTCGACTTTGCTGCTCACTATCGTCTACACTACGCTGCGAGTCTTGCTGTTGAGTCTGAGTCTGTCTATCCTCCATCCGTCGGGAGTGAGTGTGCTCTTGGCACGGACGTCCTTGAGGACACGCAGGAGGAGTTTGAGTGCTTTGCCGCTGCTGTACCTCATCTCGTGTCCATGTTGATTGCCCCTGAGGGAGACTTGGATGCACCAGACATCCCGGCCCTGCGCTCTTACGCTGAGGGGATCGCGGGGTGAGTACTCATCTCAATGACAAAACAGCCCATGGACGCAGATATGGCATCCTGGAAGTCCACTGGCACTTACATCGATGAGGTTCCCCCTCCTCGGGCGAACATCGTCAGTGGCATGTGGATTTTCAGGGTGAAGCGGCAGGTTCTCCACCTGTCTTCAAGGCTCGTTACATTGCTCGAGGCTTTAGTCAGTGAGAGGGAGTAGACTTCTTCCAGACCTTCTCCCCCACCCCGAAGATGACCACTCTTTGGGTGCTACTGCACGTTGCCGCTCAGCGTGACTACGAGCTTCACTCTCTTGACTTCAGCACAGCTTTCTTGCAGGGCAGCCTCCACGAGGAGATCTGGCTGCGCCGCCCTCCTGGCTTCACTGGGTCGTTTCCTCCTGGTACCTAGTGGAGCCTCCGGCGGCTGGTCTACGGTCTCCGCCAGGCGCCACGTGAGTGGCACAACACACTGAGGACTACACTTGTTGGCTCTTGGGTTTGCGCCTTCTACTGCTGACCCGTCGTTGTTTCTGGCGCACCGACACTTCGCTGCCACCATTCTACATCCTCGCGTACGTCGCCGAGTTGGTCTTTCCCACTGCTGACACTGAGGCTCTCGCCCACGTGAAGTCGAAGCTGCAGAAGAGACACACGTGCACAGACCTGGGTGAGTTGCGCAGCTACCTTGGCTTGCAGATCACCCGGGACAGAGAACGCCGCACCATCACACTGACTCAGTCACACATGGTGCAGCAGGTCCTTCAGCGCTTCGGCTTCACCTGGTCCTCGGCACAGCTGATTGCTCTGACTACAGGTCACTCGCTCTCAGCTCCACCTTCGGACGAGTCCGTAGAGCCGAGTGGTCCTTACCCAGAGCTAGTTGGCTGCCTCATGTACCTGATGACTTGCTCTCGTCCTGACCTCGCGTACCCTCTTGGCCTTCTGGCTCGCTACATGGCTCCTGGTCAGCACCGAAAGGTGCACATGGATGCTTCTAAGAGGGTACTACGCTACTTGTGCAGTACATCAGGCATGGGGCTCGTGCTTGGAGGGAGGAGCTCAGTTGTTCTCACTGGGCACTTAGACGCTTCTTGGGTTGACGACCAGGCTACTGAGCAGTCGTCACAGGGTTACACCTTCAGCCTTGGCTCTGGTTGAGTTTCTTGGCGTTCTACACGTTTGTCTTCGGTTCTCAGCTCCAGTTGTGAGGCTGAGATCTACGCCACAGCCATGGCTGCACAGGAGTTACGCTGGTTCACCTACCTATTGACCGACTTGGGAGAGCGGCCTCGTTCTCCTCCAGTGCCGTACGTGGACAACAAGGCTACCATTGCCTTGTGTGAGGAGCACAGACTAGAGCACAGAACAAAGCACATCGCTCTGCGTTACTTCCTGGCTCGAGAGTTGCAGCAACATGGTCAGCTTCGTCTGAGTTACGTAGCCACTAGGGCCAACACTGCTGATGTATTCACCAAGGCACTTCAGTCTGGTGATCATCAGGATTTCTGCACTATGCTAGGGCTTGTGCCCACTTTTCCTCACTTGCTGTAGGCTTTGCTTGTACTGTGATCTATTTATATATACCTACATGCTTGCTTTGTTAGGTAGAGATCACTGTGATGTTTGTGTTACACATATGCCTCTGCATGTGAACTGGCCTTGTGGCTCTTTGCTTGTGCTCAGTGAGTGTGGTGACGTTGTTGTCAAGATAGTGAGTATAGTAGGAGCTAGGTTTAGGTAGGGCCTAGGCTTAGTAGCCTAGGCCAAGGGGAGTCGAGATAGTTGTGGCAAAGAGAAGTCGAGAATGGGAATGGTGTTCACTATAGCACTAGGGTACATATAGCAAACAGAGCATGCAAAGAAGGTGCACCACCAACAGTTTATAATATCTACACTAAACTACAGCTACAGGCAGTTACACATATATTCTAACACTCCCCCATAACTGCCTGCAGCAGGAGTTTGTGCAGAACACAACCTGCAGGGGTACACTAGCAATAGCAACAGCAGGCACGGTAACAGAGAAGGTACATGCAGCAAAGGGACAAGCGACAGTAAGACAGTCCTGGCCACCCCCTTACTCTCTTCCCCCCCCCCCCGACCCAGGAGGGGGCAGCAGGGGAGAGAGAGGGAGGCGGGCTGGCTCTGGCTGGTCACCCCCTCCATCCCCTCACCCTTCCCCCCACACTGCTGCAAAAGCAGCAGAGGGGGGAAGAGAGGAGGGGTGGAGGGACGGCTGGTCTCACACCCCGCCACCCCGTGCCACTCCCCTGGCTCCCCCACACCCTCACACCCTCCCCCCTAGCGGCAGCTGCAGCAGTGGAACGAAAAGGTAGGAGGGGAAGGGAAGCACACCACCCATCACCCCCACCACCCGCCACCCCCATACCCTCCCCCCCACGGCTGCAGGGAGACGAAGGAGGAGGGGGTGGGCGGGGAGAAAGCCGCAGAGCGGCTACAGAGGGTCGTCGCGGGTAGGTCAGGGGCGGCTGCAGCAAGTGTAGGCGCGGGGTGAGGCAG